GAATATCGATAGGGATTTCAATGAATTAATAAATAAAATTAGGAAGAATTACCAACCATGTTAATAGTATGAAGTTTTAATCAATGAATAAGCAATATCTCCCCATTTGTTTGATATTTTTTTCATGTCTCTCAGTAATATTTTGTAGTTGTCAGTTAAAGTTTTGCATTTAATGAATTAAACTGATACCTAAGCATTTTGTCGATTTGATACTATTGTAAGGGAAATTATTTTCTTTACTTTTGAAATTTTGTTGCTCAGGTATAGAAATACAATTACCTTTTGTATGTTATCTTGTATCATGCAGGTTTTATAAACTCATTACTCCAAAGTTCTTTTTTCTTTTTTATTCCTTAGGATTTTCTACATAGGAGATTATGGTACTTGTTAATAAAGACTTGTTTTACTTCCCCTTCTTCAGTCAGTATTTTCTTGTACCTTTTATTCCCCCCAAGCAAACAGTCTGGAACATTCTGAATAATGTTGACTAGACATAGTAAAAGTGGCTATCAAAGTCCTGTTCTCATTCTTAGGGGCAAATCTTCCAGCCCAACATCACTTGTGTGATGTTAACAGGAGAACTGCCAGAGATGCTTTTGATCAGACTGAGAGAGTTTTGTTCTCTTTATAATCTCTATAGAGCTTTAGAATAAACTAGAAGCCTAATGCACAAAATTCATGTAAGGGGCTTGGCCCTCACAGCCCCTCACAGCCTTGGCCAGCCCTTGCAGCCCTGGCTTCATCGGGAATATCCTGAAGGATGTCCTAGGTTGGTCTGCTGTTTGGTCTAATTAGCATATTAGCTTTTGATTATATAAGATTATATAGGTTGTGTGTTGGATTTTGTCAAAAGTTTTTTTTTTCTGCATCTAGAAAGATTATTTGATTTTATCCTTCATGCTAATAATATGGTCTATTATATTAATTTTCAGATATTAAAGCAATTTTGCATTCTTGAAAAAAAAATCCCACTTTGTCAGAGTACAAAAATATTTTACATGTTATTTAATTTGCTGAGCTCATATTTTGAAGTTTTAAAATGTTTATTCCTAAGTGATATTGTGTTGTGGGACCCCCCTGAAAAGGGACCCTCACTCTCAGCCTGCCGCTTGTGCTATTAGCTATCTCCGAGGGCAGCCTCAAGGCCTGCACTCCCTTTGTTCCCCATCCCTGGCGTCTCTAGCAGGGTGGGGGGAAGCCTGGGGAGGGGGAGCCTGGGGAGTTGAGATAAAACAGGCGGCTTGTAGCATTTTTTCCTTTCAGTGTTTTAGTTTTCTTATCTTGTATCTTTGCTTGGTTTTGGTATTAGGATATAGTGGCTTCATAAAATGTGTCATCTTCAATATTTTTATGAAGTTTATAGAGTTTATACTGATCCTTCAATTATTTGGTAGGTCTGTATAGATTTTCTATTTCTTCTTGAGACAGTTTAGTACCTTGCACCTTTCTAAGAATTTGTCTAGTTCACTTAAGTGGTCTAATTTTTGGCATATTGTTTTTATAGTTTTTTCCATATAATCCTTTTCATTTATGAATGGTCATTAATGATGTTCTCACTTTAAATCCTGGCTTTGTTAATTTGTGTCTTCCTTTATTTTTTTCTTGGTCAGTCCAACTAAATGAAGCAGGAATTTTAGGGGGAACATAGGCAGGATTAGGAATTTCTTAGAATTGGGGTCCATGGAATAGTGCAGGGCTGCAGACTGAGAGAAGGTACATTTCCATAACATAAGGAAGCCAGGTGCAGTTACATCTCCATTAGACAAGGGAGCAGCAACAATAACCTTTACATGGGACAAGGGAACTGGAAGTAGCCAAGATAGGTCTATATTTACAAAATAAAGGGAAGGAAGCCCTTCATTCAGATGGAAAAGAAAAAAGCCCAGAGGGAAAGAAGGACTATGAGGGAGGAGGGCCTCAGGAATCACTAAGTAACCAATCTGAAGGGGAATATTGACCAATCAGAGGGGATATCAGGACACAGGAACTGCAGCCTCTATAAACCACAGGGAAAAGAACTCAGTGGGACCCTTCCACCTCCCTAGTCCATTCTGTGGGACCCTTTCCCTCTCCCCATGCCGGAGTCTGTACTTGTTCTTCAATAAATCTCCATCTTTGCTATGCCACTTTCTGTCCATGGACTCATTCTTCGATTCCGGCCCACAAAGAATCCGATTCCAGTCCAAAAATTCGGTATCATAAAGATATGTAAATTTTACTTTTCTCAAATACAAGATCTTGTTTCATCAAATTTTCTCCTCAGTTTTAATGATTTTTGCTCTAATCTCACCATTTCCTTTCCTTGGGGTTCTGTTTACTCTTCTTTTCTAGTTATTTAAGATGAAAAACTTAGGATATTGATTTGAGAAATTTTTCACGTAGGAATGTAGAACTACAAATTAAACTTACTTCTAAGCATTGATTTAGCTACATTCCATAAATTTTGATATGTTTTGTATATATGCAATCAGTTGTAATCTCTTTAACTCAGGTTATTTTAGAAATTGGTTTAATTTCCAAACATTTGAAGGTTTCTCAAAAATGTCCTATTAATATCTAATTTAATTCCATTAGGAATGGAGAGCATAGATTGTGCGATTTTAATTTATTTAGATCTAGTGTGACTTGTTTTACAGCCAAGGTTATTTGTTTATATACTGTCTAGCATTGCAGTTGAGTAAGTGCATGTTTGGCACTTCATGCGATGTGAAGGTGAGTGCCTCCTTAACTCTGTGCCTGGCAAAGTCACTTGCCTCTCTCTAGTCCCCACCTTAATCAAATGAATAGAATGAAGTAGTGATATCAGACCCAAGTCTGGAGTTTTACTGCAGTTTTTATAAAAGGTGGATCAACATGTTTCATTGAAAAGTTGAGAGGCATTAGACTGCATTCAATATGTTGTCATTAAGCACATCAGAGTGTCACTAAAATATACCTGCAGTAGTGACTTGACTACTCTCATCATGTCTGTTAACTCCTGAATTTCAAAAAGAAAATGTACTCTTTTGAGTTATCGGTAGCCTAAGTAGGGATTTAGACAATTTATATGTATGTGCTGGGGAGAACTGCATGAGGAAATATTTGACTTCTTGCTAAAAATGACAACTTGTCCTCCAGAAATTATCTACAGATTTTTTTTT